CCCCCCCCTCGGCCAGTTTCTCCGCGCTCTATGTTTGGAGACCTGCTTATATGATCTTTCATATAATAAAAGAGAAGAAGATACAGATAAAAAAATATTTATATAAAATATGTTTAGTTAGGTGTTAATACTACAAACGCTTTGGAGCGTTGATTGAATGATAAATATTGATACCTACGATTCTTTAAAGCATTTTAAGTGTGTAGTGAATATTACCTAAGATTAATTTTATGGAAAATATTGTAATTTAATTTAGTTATATTTACTTTCTTAATAAGAAAATGTTTTAATTATATGAAGAAATAACGTATGGATATCTAGTGGATTACTTCAGTAGTTACCCAGATAGCACAGGATGTCCTATGGACATCCATTTTATATCCATTTTACGTCCGCACATCCATGGACATGCAATGGACATCCGTTAATATCCATAATTTGGATGTCCATAAGATATCCGATTTTGGACATAAATGTCGTAAGTATAAAATTCGACTACAGACATGTTGAGAATATGCGCTATCAAAGCTATATATCCTTTTATCCCCAGGCAGCAACGTTACGTCATTTTCACGTCGAAAAATAGTGATTACCAGTCCTAGACGTCATGTAACCAATAACTGACGTTTAAAAATCATAATAATCTTGACATGATAATAACGTCATTTAAAGACGTCTATAATACGTTTTTGAGAGACTATTTTTAATCAGCTGTTTCATAAGCAAAGAATGTGACAGATATTTATCTAGTGTTCATTTATATCAACTGTGCCTTTAGGAAAAATTATTTTAAGATGTAATTATTTTAAGATTTTTACTTTAAGATGTTCAAATTAACTTAAAGTTGCTTAAAGTTACTTAAAGTTATTTATAGTTAACTATAAATAACTTTAAATAATTTTAAGCAACTTTAAGTTAATTTAAACAACTTAAAATAATTTTTCTTAAGGGTGGTGTATGTAACTAACAGATTATTATACACGTTATTTATTTTTTATGTGCTTGCATCTTAAGCATTTGACTCTTAAGAATAAATCTTGTAGAATTGATCTTACCCCATTTCTTACTCACTTTACCTACCATTCCTATCCTACCATTTCTTAGCATTGCATTGTTGCAATTATCCAGTTAGTAGGATGATGTTCAAAGATATATTAATGAGAAAATATTGACTCAGATAGCACAGAGATGAATAGAAGTTTATAAAGGATTCATTTTAAAGAATACCTAAATAATTAGAAAAATGAATATCTGAAGCATTCCTGAAAAATTATCCGAACCTAATTTATTCTAAAGTATTCTTTTGAAATTTATTATAATAAATATTTCGCGAATCATTACTTGGAATACTCTGAGAATTTGTAAGAAATTACTATTACTAACTAATTTTATTTACATTTTATGGTTACATTAGACAGATACTCCATCGTTTATAATAAGCGCTGATTTGTATGTTTATATACAAATTTAATTAACCTAATTAAATCTTATATAATAAGATAGATTTCTTTTTTGATAGTATTATTTTATAATTACTCAAAGTTTATAGTCTCTTATGACTTTATTTAATAACAGTTAACAATAAAAAACTTTTTGATATATAAATTTAGAAATAATGGAATAGAAAGCGCG